AAATTAAGTCCAATCTACAGTCAAATGATCATGCTTTCATTATAAAATTAGGTGCTTAGAATTTGTACTGCAACTGCTGTTTAATGTGACGCATTTTATAAGTCCACTGAACCAAAATATCTCACAAATCTTCCTGTTCAGTACAAGTTATCTTCATAAATATCAGTATAATTTAAGGACTCAAAGTGGAAATGAAACAAAATGTCAGTCGATATCAATACACTGTATGTGTTGTACGCAGTATAGCTTGGCATATAAATCTTTTTATATAAAACTGGCTCAGAACATGGCTCCAGGAAGTACACAAGACTAAGTAATTTGTACCAGGTCAAATGATGATATTTTCACCATGGTCCTGAACAAAGATTCAGATAATAGCAACAGATGATGACAGCAGCGACACTAAGTTAAATGAACCAGTGCCTTCTTGTGGTACAATCAGGGGCTTTATGCCAATTACACAGCACCTTGAGACATCAAAACTGATCCTTAAATCTATGTGTTATTCAAGTTTATTTTGATATATATCATTGGACATTGTTTCTGTTATAGTTAAACATATACATATAAATATGTACCTGTACTTTTAAGATGTCGGTGACCCAATGAGGAACATTTTTAGAGATTTCCATGTAGTGCAAGAGTAAACACGTAATACCAAACGTTCACCATATGCTTCATGTAAATATAAAAACATATGATAGTATCTTTCCTTCGCTGGTGTATAACACAACAGGACTGAAATCTTCACCTAAAAACTGAAATTCAAAAGATTCAGAAACTTTCCTCTTCATGTAAACATGACCTATCAAGACATCAGCCAAATTGGAGAATTTCAAGATTCTATCAAAAATAGAATGATAGAAAATAAAAATACTGTATAACATTATCTGTTCTTTTCACTCAACTAATAATAACCGACTTGTACTAGAAAACAGGATCCACAAACAACCGTTGTGTTTTATTATCAGCCTACAATGTTGTTCCTTTTATTCTAGTGTATATTGTAACAGTCTACTGTAAATATTGAGTATCAACATGCCCTACAGATGTGACATTTCAGTTGGATGGCACTTTAAATTGACATATGAATGCTGATATCCGAATTAAAATTGCAAACAGAACAAGATTGTACTGTGATCTTTTCTATTAGTTTTTTCCAACACTGATGAATGTAGTTTTTATCTAATGTATCAAAATTATCAGTCTGAATTGTCAGTCAAAATATACATATAATAAATGTGAAACAGTTAAAATTTGTCGTATTATTCAGTATTCCCTGGACTTATTGTCTACTTCTGTTTTGTTTTATTTTTCTCATACATAAACTAAAATAACAGGAAATTTCTATTATGAATATGTTTGTCTAACTGTTAACCTTTTTTTATATCTTGTAAATGATCTCGAAAGTATCCAAAGCAGAGTGTTTATTGAAAGAGGTTAACTGTAAGTTATCAATCATACAAGCTCTCATGTTGTTAGTAAATGCTCCTTCTTTATAATTAGATCAAAATTCTTTGCCTCATGACAATTTTCTCAATTTCCAGTCTGGTGTACATCACTACCAGATGGTTAATCACCTTGTACTGTCTAGCACCTTTGAAACCACAGCATGCACCAGGAAGGCCAAACTACCTGATATGCTACCTGAGGCAGACATCATATGAAAGTACATCTCCTGGTGCAATTAATGTTTTTACTTGTAAAATGAGGAACTTACACTGCAAAAATCTATATCATTCAGAACCTTCATTCAGAAAATAAATTCCAACTGGTAACTGCTAATTTAATACCGAGATAAAATGTAGTTTGTACTCATATAACAAAAAAACCCACACATCATGCCTTCTGATTATAATGATGGTGTATGCAAACTTTGATACAGAAGATTTGAAACTATTTTCTTGTTTCTTTTTATGTTCTATTATTTGAATGTTTTCATTTGTAAGTAAGATTATACTTTAACAGAAAACACAAACAAGGATTACAATAAGAGACAGCAACAATTGATTTACCAAAATGCAAATCACCTGTATGAATTGCAAATAATACCTAGGTATACTGTACATGTAGATTAATTGATATATCAACCCCAACATCTGCCTCAAATCAATAAATCGCTTGTTGCTTTTAGTTCATTGAAATCCCACATTAAATATTAAAGTTAACTGAATTAAGGGATATCAAGCTATGAAAATTCCAACCGATGAATTCTTTATTTTTGTAATGGAAAAATCACCTTGAAGAAACTTAGCAAAAAAGATGTGAAGGAAAAACTATTGTAATTATATAATGCAACTGGCTTCTATATGTAGACTAGAAAAAAACAAAGACCAAACATGTTTTTGACTTGTTGATGCTTATGTCAGAAACCATATGTGTACGACATTAAACAGAGGGCACATGTCATAACATTCAATTAGGCTAATGACAACCAAGAAACAACTATACAAGTAGCCTGGTTACCTCTGTAGATGTTGGGGGATGTTTTTGATGTCAACACCTACACATTGTACAATCGATCTCATATAAGGTAATGTAAGGAGTGCAAGGGTCATAACCTTTCATGTTACAAAGATTGCTAACGTATACCTAATAGTCAGTTCTAAGTATAACAAATCTTTTGAGGGTAAAATAGCATTTCAAAGTCAAAAAGTAAGATTATTATCGAAACTTTTAAGAGAAGAAATGTTCTTATGCACCAAGTTACATCAATTCTGACAAAGCATCTGGCACATCATTCAATGGAAGTTTGCAATTTCCTTATTATATTATTGTAATTGAGGTCAAGGTCAAAACTTGAAATAGCGATTACCAGAAACTCAATTTTAGTACATGACCATATTTTGTCTATACGTACATGTATGTGAAGAGTGACATCCATTTATGAAACCTGTTTTATTTTACTCTTACTATCTGTTATATACCGAGATCAAAGTCAGGGGCCTTGCTGAGGTTGCAGGGACCACATTTTACTGTCACAATGTGCATGCACATATCAATGCAATTCAAGAACGACAACTTTAACCATGCCTGGAAAAAACAGATAAGTGAGTCACAGAACAGCATGTGTGTAGAACTTGCTTCAAAGCAAGAACATGAATGTATGTTAAACAAACGACTTGATTTTGGAGTTCTGAAGTAATGCTCTACCTGTCATACTAAGAGATTAATTCAGGAACTGACATCAACAAATTTTCAAACAGTTTCATTTAAAACTTATAGTCACCTCAAGGTATGCCAGCACAGCTCTGTCCAAAATAATGTCTTCAACATTAGACAAAAACAGTTCCTTTTAAGCCACTTTGTAACAACTTCAAATAAAATGCCACAAATACTCCAAAAGTAATAAAAACTGTATGAAGAAAACACAACACTGAACTAGCCCACAGAATGCTCTTTTTTGCAATACATGAAACTTTTGAGAAATATTTCACTATAATTCAGCTGAAACCTCCACCATCTCACATGGTAAACCCAACAAATGGCAGCCTTACGAAGTCAGACAAGTAAACCTCAGAGGTGATGTTTACAATCCTTTCCTATTGATAACAAAATATATTATACCTGATGAGCAAATGACACGTATTTCTATAGTTTCCATTTCCAAACCAAAGCTAATGTTCAGTTAGCACACAGGGATTTTGTACTGAAGACATCTGGCCATCGAATAAAATCTTTTGGTTGTAATATTCAACTTACCTATTTTTTTTCTTTAAATTTACAATGCATGTATCTGTCCACATGAAATGTTGTCTTTATAACAACTGCATCAAGATAAAGCTTTACACTGATTCTGGGGGATGTCACAAGCGAATGTAAACAAACTTTGATGTGATTGACAGGCAACAAATATAAGGATTACTTCCTGATATGGTGTTCCCCACAAAATATTGAAACCAAATTAAAATCGCTTTTAATTTAACTTTAGTAAATGCCTACAGTATGTATCCAGTTAGCCCAACTCCTTCACAGCACACACAGCTCTATAGGACCAGTAATGAAATGCATTCACACAGGAAAGTGAATAATATTGTTGACAATAATGTAATTGACCTTTCATATAAATCTGTATACATTACATGTAATGAACAAATGATGTCTTAGTAGTAGAATTAGTTCAAAACAGAGTTTAAAATAGTGTCTCATGATCAAAGCATTTCATAAATAACCTTCAAAAGAGAAGCAGAGTTTATCACATTTCAGCAAAAATAATGCAAATAACTTGTATCATATGTCGAATGACATTTGTTAATTAAGAAGAAAGTTAAACAAAATCATTCAACAAATAATTCCATTATCTCAAAATTTCATCAAAAAATGAACCTAAGCATTAAGCCACATCTACAAAATGTTTATGTGAATGTTGACATAACATTTTTTAATAATGACATTTTATTTCCACTCCTTTGTAGTGGTGATACAAAATATGAGTATTAGTTCAAACAGTTGTTCAAAGATCTACCATCAATGGAGCTCGTCCAAGCCAAAACAACAATGATTTTGAAATTGGTTCCAAACTAAAACAGGATCTGGTGCTGAAATTAGGATGATTCCGCAAAATTTTCAATAGAATCTGAGTTTGTATTTGAGTGCCATTATGACCAAACCAGTTCCAGGTTTGGTCAAGATATGTATTTACAACATTGTTCCCATTAAATCATACAGAGTAGAGATTGGTTTAAAGTTTCAAATATGAAAAAGTTACTGGATAAACAGAGGACAGTTACAAAGTGAAGACAAACTGTGAATGGTATGTAACTCCTGGTATTCAAGGTTCCATCACAACAATATTTTCTTTACTCCATTCACTGTCAATATTAGTTGTTTCCCCAGCTAAAATCTGTATTAGTTTACCATATTTATGCAAAAAAAAGAGTATCTTCCAAAATTTTCAGGTGAAATATTACTACATTTACAAATTTATACAGACACAAGCACCTGTATAATTCAAGCAGAAAAAGCACTAGCATGCAGGAACATTTAAAATCAGTACAAACCTCTAAAACTGGGCCTGCGCCAAGTATTGTCTGTTCCACTCCACTGCCGTGTGCCCCCTTCTGACTGAGGGCAGTCAGGTGATGCAACAGAAGGTTTGTACTCTCTGTCTTTCCGGATCCTGACTCTCCAGAAATCACTATGCACTGATTTTTCTTTGTCCTCAACATTGTGTAGAATGCTGCATCGGCTATTGCAAATATATGTGGTGGTAGTTCCCCTAAACGTTTATTTTGATACATTTTCACATACTTTGGGTTGTAAATGGGAAAGAACTTGAATGGATTAACAGCAATAAGTATAGACCCAACATACGTATAAATATTGGAGTTGTGATATCTTGATTTGATGTTGTCTAGAAGTGTTCGTTCGTTCAGATCAGGTAAATTACATAGGTCTGGGTATTCCTTGTTGTTCGTTGGCGACTGTAAAAAGCTAGTGAGAAAGGTATCTGCAGGACTTGTTATGTCATGGTAATCTTGCCAAGACGAAGTTCTAGTATGGTTGTCAGGATCTTTTTTCCGCAAGTAGAACCTGTAACCAGTTAATCCAGAGCCGCGTTCCATTTCTGCGTTTATGATTTTTGGCCACAACAGCTGAATACGAACAGGATTTTCTGAAGGTTCAAGTCGCCTTTCTTTACATAACTGCCCACCAGTTGACAAAACTTCAGCTAATTCATAGTTATCTGAACTTCCGAGACGTAACTTATTTACTGCTACCGCAACGATTTCAACTGCTGATGTTGTTTTCTCTGCCTCTATGGAAGTGAACTCACATTCGTAAGTGAGTGACCCTGGATATATACGTACCATGTACGTTTCCATGCTCATGCGTCGCACAATGTGCACACGCTTTGACCTTGCTGACAACAGATCAGCCATGGATGTTGGTTCTAGATGGACCAAACAACCAGCGATACAAAGACTTTCCTGATAAGATCATACACTGTACAGACACTCAATGTCCTTGTGCCAATCGCCATGGTGATAAGACTGCTCCAGTCTGTCCATCTTGATTTGCTCTATAAACTGCAGCATCTGAAAGCAAGATATAGATGAGTTATTAGTACAATCTTCATGGTAAGTAGAGACATCTAGATATCTGAATCATACTAGCTACATCAATATGTCTGGTGTGACAGCAAATAGGGGTGAAAAAAATGGTTTATAACACAAACATATTGAATGTATTTTTTTTTGGGTGATGTTATTTCATTTGGATTGTGTTCTCTCTTAAAACTTAACAAACAATGCATTCTAAATGAGAAAAAAACCCATCAAACATGATAGATTCAGTCATGTTTAAATTTCACACAAAAACTAATCAAACACTTTCCCTCCAAAATAGACATTTGTAGAATAGAACAACATATATATAGGTAGAAGATAAATATTGAGTAATAAAGAAGTTGACAGGTATGGTGATGGGTCCTGGATATGACTTTTATAAAACAATCTGAAAACAATATGCGTAAAGGATGAAATAAATACACTAGTTTTAAAGTCTATTGGTTAAATTGTCTGGAGAGAGAATCTTTGAAAAGACTGTTTTATGAGATGAGATTAATAGTGGTCACTTTGGATTGCTTAAAGCCAATTCCACAGTTTATAGTTAACAGAATTAACAGGACTGGTATAGAACCCTTAGCCACATCAGTAAGAAAATCATTAACACTGACTCCATGAATTTTGTTTGTTTGCTTGGTTTACATCATGAATAACCAGGGTCATTTTCAGGCAAGATTTTCTTGTATTAGCTGATGGCTAACTCAGTGAACAACATACAGGAGGTCCATCTGATGTCATCAAGTGCAGTCAGAATATAAAAATGTGTTTTGTCAAGGGAAACAACCTTTACAGCACAGATCAGTATGTTTCTCAGCTTCCTGTGGTTCCAGTGATTATGTAGCCCAACCCCCTACCAACTAAGGATGCTATTGCAGCCCCTATCACCATGAATCCTCTTTCTCAAGTAGAGGGAGTCACACTGCAGGTACACCATGGGGACATCTATTTTCATATGACTTGACAAACGAAACTTTACCATTGATCGGTTATATCAAAGCATCCAAGTATGTTACCTGTAATATATGTATTCAGCCTTTAAATATCTCAATCTATTACATACTTTGATTGGTGTTATTCTATTGAAATCCGTGATTCATATGTACACACTCCTTTTACAATATTGTCCAAACCAATGGCATTATACCAATACAACTCAATTCATGCCATTGTACAAAATATGTTGTCACAAAATTTAACGAGGGCCTACATCAAAATTCTACACTTTAGCACAGGACCTAAGTTCAGTAACAGAACTTCCTGACCATTACACATATAGCTCACTTAAAAATCCAACTGCTGGAGATATAGAGTACCCCAGGTATATAACTGATATGTTTCCAGGTAACATAAAGTAATCAAAGAGCTACAACTTCGAATATAAGAAGCCATTTTAGTAACCGTTACTCCACTAGCATTGCCTAGGGTAACTCATGCTAGTATTGTGAAAGTCTTGACCTAATATTGTTCACTAAGTACTGTAATAATGTTAAGGACAACACAGTACTGACACCTCAAATGTATTCATGAAGTTATCGCACATAGGGACACAAATCATGATCTAGAACTATCCATCATGGCAGACAATAACAAATTCTGCCATCACCATCAAGGTATTTTTTCAGTTGTTAAAGAAAAAAGGGAGAAAACTTGTTCATTTTATTAAATCTTCAAATTCCTTATTGTGTTTTACTTAAAGATCTTATGGTTCATGTGTGTTTCTGGTCATGCATAAAACACATACAAACAATGTGGATTCCAAGATAAAGCAATCGGATTGAAAATAACATCAAAGTGCACACTGACACAACCAGCATTGCTTTGATGAATCGCTATTTCATTCACCAAACTGTATAAACTGAAGATCACTTCCGGATTCTGATCATCAGTAAACTATCAGGTAACCTGGTATGGTAAAGGTTGCCAAGGGTTGTATTAAGGGACAGAAATTTTGTACCCAAAACAACCTTAAACTCCACAATCCAAGAACAGCATTTTTACAAGCAAACCTTGGCAAATTTAAGAAACAAGGTCATTCACAGTCATTCTTTCCTAGACTAACAGGCAAATGGCCTGACTTACGAAGTGAAAATCTACATGCACAGGCATATATTGATCATTCACCGATAACCATGTATGGGCATCAGTGAAGAACTTCCTGCACAATGGACTATGTCTCGATATGTCTATATTATTGCACAATTCTGGCAAATACACAAAACTGATTTTACCCAATCTAATTGTGTACATTAAGCTTTAAGAATTATTAAGTTGAAATCACAAAAACATTAAATCACTGAATACAACACAATACCCACAAGAGACTCGAGTCCACATCAAGTGGTCGACACCAGACAGTAACAGCCATACTAATGAGGAGATCTATAAATGCGTTTTACATGAACTCACGAGAATCAGTGTTTTCCATTATGGATCCTAGTACTAAAGAATAAAGAAAGTTAAGCATGAACTGACCAATTCTAATCACTTTAAAATTTATCACATGATTTTTCACAGTATTATGATTTCCACTACGTTACCAAGGCATCTGGGGGCTGGGTATCTTTAAGTTATTCGGTCAGTATAATGTCAGATTCCATAAGGTAGAATTATATCTTTGCTGTTAAAACTCTAAATATATCTCTATTATCAGTACATCAGTTAAAATGTGCACAACATCAGCAGATGTGACCTTCTGACATACTAACAGGTGACACACCGACAAGATCAACACACATACAAAAGTGTTTACAACAAGTTTGTTTAACAAGGTTGTACTTTGGAGTATTCATCTCTGCTGTTGGTTGATGGTATTAGGGATATGCAACTATAGGAGATCATTGACAGAAACACAAATATCTAAATTCACTCAATAATGACTTCAGTATATAACATTCATTTCATTTCAGTAATAATTACCATAACTTTAGTATGCATATCTCCCACTAATTCCCATAAAGAAGTTTATATTATATACAAATGAATGGGAATTAGTGGGAGATATGCATACTAAAGTTATGGTAAGTATTACATCATGAAAATTGGTTTTACAAGAAAAACATTCCAATCATCATAGCCAATTGAATGAATACTGGACTTGATGGGTTTTTTTTATTTAGCCATGACCTGAAACTATATCCTTACATGAATTTACATTGATCTTGCTGACACTGACTATAATTTCAGAGCCTGTCATGATCTAACCTAATTTTTATTCCAATTACTGCCCTATTAATATCTGAATAATTACTTCAACACTTGACCTTTGCCACTTACCTATCAATGTGTTCAGTAATTTTTTGAAGGATTTCTTCCTTAAGACATATTGTGGGTTCTTAAAATTTTGGTGAGTCCCAAAGAAAAAAACATGGGTCCAGAATTCAAAGATCTAAGTTAAAAAAAATCAAGATGTCTTTGTAACATGTTTCAAATGGGGGTAAAATTACAGTTATCATCCAACATGTTGTAACCCCGATAGCTACATAGCAAATGACTGGATAGGATGACAACTTATTGTTTTCTACACCATATACATACTGCATGTTAAACCTGCAGTCTAATCAATGCAAGGTTCAGTATATGTACAATGTAGGCAAACACAATGTGAAGCTCTGACATTCTCCCGACTCTCAAGGGATGCTGAATGTTTTTTTTGTATGATCAGAGATGACTATCCGATATTTTCACAACAATCTCACATTCAGATATTTTTACAACAGTCTCAACATTCACCGCCCAGTATACACTAAATGCCAAAACTAATGGAAAGAGATTATGATATTACACTTCAAATCAGACTATTTATATCTCTGCAATACCACACAGCGATGAACAAATACCTCTATCTTATGGTGTTGATGGAAAATAAATTTATTTAGAACATTTAAAGGGCCATATCAACAAAAAAGAAGTGCTTTGAAATTGCAATATAAATTTATTGCAGAATATGATATTATAAAATTAATGTAGAAATGATCTGCCATCTTTAACCACAGACCTCTTACAAACACTTTTGTGTCCTACAGTAATGTGAAACAGAAGATACACAGATTTTCATTTATATTTTAATACAGTCTCTAAAATGAAAGTAACTTCAAAGTAATTAAAAAGGAATATTTCATTTTTATCAAACCTACATGCTAATGCATAGAAATAACTTTTCAGTATTTGTTTATATCATAAAGTTCCCCTATTTCACAATTCATCCAAGTTTATCTCATTCAATACTGCTACCTTAATAAATTTAGTTATTCTTTCCCTCTTTAACCAATTCCTACACTTCTATTTCTATGTACACTGGAAGACAATTGTCAATTTAGATATATTTTTATTGATTTATTAATTTTCATTTACAGTCCCAAGCATGGTGACAATTTACAGTCCCTAGCATGGTGACAATTTACAGTCCCAAGCATGGTGACAATGGCATGGTGACAATTTACAGCATGGTGACCCTCCCAAGCATGGTGACAATTTACAGTCCCTAGCATGGTGACAATTTACAGTCCCTAGCATGGTGACAATTTACAGTCCCAAGCATGGTGACAATTTACAGTCCCTAGCATGGTGACAATTTACAGTCCCTAGCATGGTGACAATTTACAGTCCCAAGCATGGTGACAATTTACAGTCCCAAGCATGGTGACAATTTACAGCATGGTGACAATTTACAGTCCCTAGCATGGTGACAATTTACAGTCCCTAGCATGGTTACAGTCCCTAGCATGGTGACAATTTACAGTCCCTAGCATGGTGACATTTTACAGTCCCAAGCATGGTGACAATTTACAGTCCCTAGCATGGTGACAATTTACAGT